CTTTGCCCTTGACAGTAGGGAAGCACAATATAGGAATCATCATGGCAACAAACGCCACTGAAACCCACCCAATAGGCTGTGAAAATCTACCCAAGTTCCATGGTCCGGGTTTGAATGTAGCTCTAGCGGTGGTTAGTTTAAGTAGCGTCGGCAAAGTGAAGGATATAAATGCAGCAATGGCTCCAACTGAAAAGATGGCACCTAATGCAACTTCCCCGGCAAATAGCAACAAGAGCAACAACTCTCCGATGATTATATTGATGGTAACAGCATATATTGGAGTTCTAGTTACTGGTGATACCTTTTTCCAAATTTGGGAACCAGGTAATAATCCATCTCTTGAATATGCATAAGTCACTCTTGATGATGCCAATAAACAATTCTGCGACATAAAAAAGGACGAAATCGCTGTGAACGCCGTTGAAGCAACAACTAATTTATGTTGCATCACTTGAACCAAATATGAGACAAATGGCTGGCCTAATCCTAGTGTGTCCATAGATATTTCAGAGATGCTCACCAATGTATAGCCAATGGCGATCATAAAGCAAAAGCCAATTACTCCACCAACAACACTCGTCATTACAATCGCCCGTGGTACTGCCACTGACGCGTTTGAACATTCTTCAGCCAAATGAAATGGTGAGTCATAACCCGACATGACCCATATAACCCCCAAAAAGGAAATCAAAAAGGCAAGTCCTTGTGGCCAGTCAGTCTGGTTTTCCAATGACCACGCCACTGAATTTGAATTAAACTTGGTGGAAACGATCCCTTCATTCAAGTCTAACCTTTTATTGCCTCCCAAGATCATGACAAATACAATTATCAAAAATGCCACATTGCACCATGCAGTAAACGAGCAAAACTTGGCCACGTACCGTGCCGGCATGGAACACATGACCCCACAAACAATTTGGATTCCTGTTGATAGTCCAAACACATGTCCCGGTGTTGGTGAATATGTGGGGCTATTGAAGGAATACAAAGCTAATATCAAACTAGCACAAGTTGAACTAACAGCAGGTGACCCCGTTATTTGACAAAACCAATTGGTCCAATATGCAAACCATGAAAAAAATGTGCGGCACTTGGCGGGAGCTAATTGCGAAGTAGCATAAGGGGCACCAGCTGAGCAGGGGAATGCCGATGATATTTCTGCCAAGGATAGAGCGACCGATGTGATAAATATGATGGCAATTATCCATGGCAAGGGTGACATTCCAATCACCAATTGTTGATAATTGAAAGTTGCCGCAACTGATGGTAAAAGACCCAATAATGAAAAGCTCATTGAAAACAATGACCAAAGAGAAAATTCTCTCTTCAACTCTTGCTTGTATCCCATTGCCAACACCTTAGCTTCATCTGCATCCACCTCATGATCAACATTGATGGTTATTCCATGGCCAGAAATTGTAGATTTGATATTCAAGTCATCAATGTGTACTTGTGATTTAACCGAAGTGATTTCATTAGCCTTTGTTGAGGCATGATTAGAGTTAGCGTTAAATAACATGGAGTTGCTCACAGTGGAGTAAGGGGTGTGTTAAAGAAAGTGGGACTTGGCATCAGTTTTAATGTACCGTTTCATCAAAATAAGCAGAATGGGGTAAAAAAGAGATTTTTCAGACAAACCGAACGGCACAATAATTCTAAATTATTTTATCTTCTCTCGTGTGATAAGAGAAATTAGAAAAGCAAAATTTGCCTTCTATTCTTGAAATGAAGTTCATTAACTACCTTTTGCCTAAAACTAAGTATACAATAGAAATAGTGGAACACACTTACGCATCCATTTCGTATCTGTTACTAAATCCGAAGAACAATAGTGCCTACCTAGTATAGCTCTAACCTTTTGAGGATTTGTATTCCTCTACTCCTCAAGAAAAAAAAAAAATTCATATCAAAAAAAATGCCATTATTACACAAAGTTAAATGACTAAAGATAATTAACGTGTCTAGCATGTACTTGGCATCAGTCAGTGGTAAAATCAAGAGAAATGATGATATCATAATCAACTAGCTTCTTCACTTCTCGGTTACCTAACTTTATGTTATAACTAAAAAGTATTTAAATAATTTTGGTTCACATTTTGCACCAATATTAACCAAAACTTCGCATCCAATAGAAAAAGGGTCTCGGATTTACCCGCCATTTCAAATCACAGGTATTTTTCATGTCTCACTCTCCCATCAAAATACACAAATATCATTACAAACCATAGTTTAAATTAATTCCTCATAACTCTAAAACCTATACACATTCATTTAGCATTTCTCATTATTGTGAGAATTTGTTTCCGAAGCATCAATCACTTGCACTTTATCATACCCTTCACTACTATTATCATTATATACAATATCTGCCTCATCGATATTACTCTTGGGACCTTTGTACCATTTATGTGCATCAACGAAAAACCACACAGTGACGATGAGAATCGGACCAAAATACACCAATACCGTCCAATTCATCTCTATGGGGGTTAAATCTTTGCCCCTTACGGTGGGGAAACACAATATAGGAATCATCAATGTGATAAACCCAACAGAAAGCCAACCAATGGGCTCAGAAAACTTTCCCAAATGCCATGGACCTGGTTTGAACGTATTTCTAGCCCAGGTAATCTTTAATAACGTAGGCATGGTAAATGAAATGAAACCTGATATACCACCAACGGAGAAAGTTGCACCAATTGCTACATCGCCGGCAAATAGCAACAACAACAACAACTGACCAAGAATAACATTTATCACCACTGCCCAAATTGGCGTTTGAGTCAATGGCGAAACTCTCTTCCAAATTTGAGACCCGGGGAATAGCCCATCTCGCGAATAGGCGTATGTTACTCTTGATGCTGCCAATAAACAACTCTGGGCCATGGAAAAAGATGACACGACGGTGAAAGCAGTTGCAGCCAAAACCAATTTCTTTTCGATGATTTGCGACAAGTAGGTGACAAATGGCTGGCCCAAACCTTGAGGGTCGGCTGCTATCTCATCAATACTAACCACGGTGTATGCTATGGCAATCATGAAAAAAAAACCCACAAGCCCCCCAATCGAGCTTGTCATGACAATTGCTCTAGGTACATTGACGGCAGCATGAGCACACTCCTCAGCTAGATGGAAGGGGGAATCATACCCCGACATAGCCCAAATGACTCCCAAGAACGAAATTAGAAAAGAAATCCCTTGCGGCCATTCAGCTTGATTATACAACGACCAAGCTACACCATTGGGGTTAAACTTTGTCGAAACGCCTTCGTTCAATTCCATTCTTTTATTACCAGCTAAAATCATGACAAAAACAATTGCCAAAAACAAAATATTGCAAAATGCACCCACAGAACTGACACGCCCGGCCCATTTCGCTGGCATGGAGCAGATAAGACCACATACCACCTGAATTCCGGTCGATAAACCGTAAACATGACCTGTGGAAGGAGAGTAATTGGCATCCGTTAATGAGTATAGAGCTAGAATCAAACTGGCACACGAATAGCACACTGAAGGCGCAGCAGTAATTTGGCAAAGCCAATTAGTCCAACAGGTAAACCAAGTTAAATACGACCTGTATTTAGGGGGTGACAATTGTGAGACAACGTATGGAGTTCCAGCTGAACAAGGGAAAGCAGAAGCCACTTCAGCCATAGACAATGCCACCATTGTGATGAACACTATAGCAACTAGCCACGGTATTGGTGACATCCCGATAACTAGTTGCTGATAGTCAAATGTAGCAGCAATTGAGGGTAATAGGCCCAACATGGAAAAACTGACAGAAAATACTGTCCACAACGAAAATTCTCTTTTCAATTCCTGCTTATAACCCATGGCTAATATCATTGCCTCATCTTCATTCACCTCATGGTCAACATTGATAGTAATACCTCGATGGGATAGTATTGATGTTACGTGCATCTCATCCACATTTACTTGTGATACTACTGGGTGCATTCCCACATCACTCTCAGCTGGCGTCCTCGTACTCTTGATAGATTTTAGTGTCATTTTTTTTTATTTGATTCCTAGCAATTATGCTCACTGTCTCTGATGAATCTTCTGGTGCAGTGTTGGCCCTTTATATATATATAATTATCCTGTGAGGCTAGTTCTTAGCGGGCCAAGAATACTCATGGTTATATATATATTGTGACTTAAAGTTAGGGTATTCTGTTATCTATTTAATATACCCCATCGGACTGTTTCAATAAAAAAGACAATTGAAATTAAAGAAAAAAAGAAATTCCAATAGGCGTTTGATAAGGCTCTCACTGTATTAAATAAATATGTTTGTGTAAAGTTAATTTAATTGGAAAGAAAAAATTTTTTGTTTTACAAAGTTGGGGGGGAGAGTAACACTGCAAGATTATACATCGCGGTTGATATTGACGAGATTACAGAGATAAGGCAATACATTTTAGTAATGAATCTGAGTTAAGCTGAGTTAAGCAAACCCCCTTACAAGGTGTACTGTTCACCTACAACCATAACTGTTTCTGTATCAAAAAGTTTTTTCCTTTAAGAGGAGAATATTCTCTCACAACGGGCGCCATCACTTTTGAACAACACTTGCATGTCTTGGCTTAGAGCAGTGCTATCCAAATGCAAAGTCACATATATTGCATTCTAAGTTTAAGGATCTCTCCACTTGAATCTCTAGGTGGAGTAGTGATTTTATTCTACTTTTAGTTGTGTGTACAAAATCAACATGCCCCCCTCCAATAGAACTTGCGCTCTGATTTTTATTTTATTTCCCAATACAGACATGCGCCGTGTTTATTTCAGGAAGGTGTTGATGCGCTTCCCCTTTCTGTCAAATTGAACCTTGAGTGACCAAATTTGCAACTGAAACTGCAAAAATTTGTTGCACTGTGACTTATTCCTACGTAGACTCCTCAGATGCAAAATTTGAAGAGATTTGAAGTTGACACACTGAACGAGAAGATGGAACACGGTTCAGTGTCTAGGTGTAACTTCATTTGTTGGGATTTTTTGCGCGCGTTGTTTTTGTAAAAAATTATATGGACAGGTGTATTTTTCAATAACAAAGACTCCGAGTAACGGCGAAGCTCACGGTTATTCCCCTCCCCCATGATAAGTCTAAGATGGCAAGTGTATTCGCTATTGGCAATTACAAACATTGTCGGCTTTACGTTATTTCTATGTGGATTCTTTCCTTCAAAAGTTGTTCTTCCTGGTAACAACACGTTTCTACAACAAAACCTAAACTTTGAATCCCCATTCTTGAAACAAAATGGAAAGCCTCAATTTGAGCGATTAATCTTGATGGTTGTTGATGCCATGCGTGCTGATTTCTGCTTCAGTGAGGGGTCAAATTTTAATTTCTTACACGACTTGATCAATGACGGACATGCAATACCATTCACAGCATTTTCCAATCCACCAACTGTCACTCTACCTAGACTCAAAGGTATTACAACAGGAGGTACCCCCAGTTTTCTTGATGCGATATTGAATGTGGCTGACGATTATGACGATTCGCAAGGTCTACATGCTCAAGACTCTTGGGTTCATCAATTCAAGAGCCTCAACAAGAGTATCAACTTTTTCGGCGATGACACTTGGTTGAAGTTGTTTCCGCAAGAGTTTGGTGAATTTGAAGGAACAAATTCATTCTTTGTTAGTGATTTTACCGAGGTTGACAACAATGTTACACGCCATTTAGATAGCCAGCTTCTGACGCTGAAGTGGGATGGATTGATACTACACTACCTTGGTTTAGACCATATTGGCCACAAGGGTGGACCAAGCTCCACATTTATGAAGCCAAAGCAAGCAGAGATGGATCTGGTCTTGAAAAGGTTGTACAAATACACCGAACAGCATCAAGATACATTAATTGTTGTTATGGGAGACCACGGGATGAATGAAGTAGGTAACCACGGGGGCTCGTCTGCAGGAGAAACTTCAGCCGCGTTGGCATTCGTATCTTCAAAGTTCAATAGTATCAATGCTAAGGCTCCGTTGCCGGTATCTTCTGACTACACTTACTACGATCGTCTTTATCAAATTGATCTAGTTCCTACGCTAGCCAGTCTTTTCAGCTTTCCCATCCCTAAAAACTCACTAGGCGTAATAACCAGGAAAATGATTGAGTTGTGGCCTGAGAATCAAAGACAAAAGATTATACTTGAAAATTGCTTTCAAATAATGAGTTTGTACGAGGCCAAAAATGGGCCAACAGGAAGCATTTGGCAAAGATGGAAAAACTTACAAAACGGACATCATGCAGTTGGGGAATACTACTCGTTCTTGGAAAAGGTGCAGCTAGAATTGGCTTCATCTGCAACAAATTACAACTACAAGTACATTTATGCTGGTGCAGGAATGATTATATTGGCTACACTCGTGACAGCTCTCATATTCAACTTTTACTTTTTCTCGGTCAGGGAGATTGCTCCATATCTGATAATTGCTTTTGAAGCATTTGCACTAATTTACTCCATTCACTTTCATGGATCGTCGTTGATTGAAGAAGAACATCAAATTTGGTACTTTGCGTCGTCTTTAGCTACACTTGCGTTTGGTCTATTTTATTTTAAAGTATTTGAGAACAAATCGAAGCTCCAATGGTTTGTGTTGTTGATTCTGTCGAGTCGAATGTTGAAATCTTGGAATAATAGCGGACAAAAGTGGTTTTCAGATGGCAACATTGCCAACTATTTATTCAACTATAATCAAAATATACTTTGGTTGCTCATTGTTGTCACTTATGGTGCCGTCGCCGTTTCCATTTGCTTGCAAGGGAATTTAAGTTGGCTCTTTGAGGCTTTTAAAACAAGAAAGGCTCCCAATTTGTCAATAGAAGCGGCCTTATTCAACATTTGTGCGCTTGTGGCCATATCGGTGTCATTTCTGTTCAAGCTTGTGCTGTACTTCATTGATGGTAACATGCCACCCGGTATTTTTAAGCTAATTTTACTATGGGTATTGGAAAGTCAGGACGTCGACACTGGTCATTTGGATATTGAGGATCTCAGCGTAAAGTTTCAACTTCAACATGTGAGTGTTCATTTGGCAAAGTATGCCACATTCGCTACTGCGGCTGCGTTAGTGCTAGTTTTGATAAGTCGGCGAATTCAAAGGAGATACAGTGGAACCATTACCGATATTACTAATATCCTTACATTGTACTTGGTACATCAAACCAAGCATGCAAATATCCCCATGTTTTTGGTATTACTCACAGCAAAGTTGGCTCTAGCCAAGCTAGTGTACCAGATATCGACGAATGAGAGAAAATTTGTCATTGATAACCACATTATATGCATAACCTTCATTACGTTGTGCTTGCAAAACTTGTCATTTTTCACCATGGGCAATACTAATTCCCTAGCCACGGTAGATTTATCAAACTCTTACAATGGTGTTCAAGCATACGATGTGTTCCTAGTAGGATTGCTTACATTCATTTCAAACTTTGCTGGGCCAATCTATTGGTCGTTGTCATCGCTACAATTGATCTTTGAGCCGGGTGTAGCGAGCTTTAAAGGTTCATCACCTACTGACCTCACTAGTTATCCACGATTGAAATACCGAATTTTGTTAACCAAATCATTTATTACTTTGTTATTTTATACAATTGCAGCTACAAATTTAGTGGCTTCGTGCATCAACTTACGTTTCCATTTGTTTGTGTGGACGGTTTTTTCTCCCAAATTGTTGTTTTTTGCCAGTTGGTTATTACTTGTCAACGGGTTGGTTGATTTGATAGGCGCTGGGTTGTTACTAACTTTATAGATAAGAATAAAAGACGATTATTTATTTGCGTATTGCTCTATTGCAATAACTGGTCTCTATAATGTGGTTGGTTATTGATGAATTTAGCAGCTCTTCTATCATTGACATCCTCTCTCTTCTTTTCATTCCTCCATGTCCTCTTCTTGCTAGCCAATTCTTTCCTGTCTGCCAAAGTCAACATATGCCTTGTTTCAGCTGCTATGACCGTTCCTTGGCCTTCGGTTAAGATCCTCTCAGGAGCAAGGTTTTGTCTGTAGTACCGAGCATTGGAGCGATGACCCACAATAGCACCTGATGGAAGTATCAATTCATTTCCGTCTTGTAGAATAGCATCCCTTTCAGATGGTGGTAATTCATCCTCGCTGTCTTCTTCTTCATCTCCACTTACGTCTTCCCAGTCGCCATCTTCTTCCCCTTCGACAACCACGTCAGCGTTATCGTCATCATAAGTAGAGGAAAAATCGTAGAAATTCGAGATTTCCAATTTTTCATCCTCAGTCTCATACGGTATCCTCATGTGTCTCTTTGTTTGCATATGCTCTCTAGCAGCTTCTGTGTTTCTTCCCTGATAGTTACAAGCTATGCAAAATCCAAATCCAATCTTTTCTGCAAGGTACTCTATCAAGCCTTTCTTGTCCACCAAATATTGTGTTTCTGGAATATACAAACCATGAAGTTTGAACATATGTATTGTATTTTCATCAATCGTGGGAAAATCTTGCTTCAACTTGGGATGGCAGAATAAACATGTTGTTGGTCGGATTTCCACTTTGTTTGAAAGCTTCTTTTGAAACTCTTTTTCTTCTGCCTGCTCTGGAGTCAACTCAGGCTCCTCGTGCAATTCATTGTGGTGTAACTTATCGTCTGTAGCAGACTCTACCAGCAGCGAAGCTTCTAACTCCTTCTGGCTATCCCCGTTTGCCGCCTCTTGTTCAGCCAACATTGCTTTTTTTGCTTGCTCCAAGATAGCTCTCTTTTGTTGCAACAATGTTTCCTTCTCCTTTCGCCTTTGTTCCTTTTTTGTCGTTTGTTTGTCCTTGGTTTCGCTCTGAGGTTGCAACGAGGCAACCTTTGTGTTGAATAAATCTTCAGTAATGGGAGGTAATTGTGCCACCTTTCTCTTCAAGTTGTAACGATGCCACTCTGATTTCATATGAACCCTCTGGTCATTTGATTCTGGAAACTGCAAGTTACATGTATTGCAAGTAAACATTTTCGTTGTATGGTTTAATGTGTTAAGAAGAAGTATAATGATAAAAGCAAAATCTTAAAAAATTTGAGATGAGTAGATGAACTGAGAGACACAAATCCAAATTGCAATTTTTTTTTCTCCTTCTGTCGTTTTCGTTTAGAAAGAAGTAGAAGCACATCTCCTTCTTCATCCTCAACGTTAATCACCACCGGAATCAATGCTGACAGACGAACAAGACATATTCAAAGATGTTCTACCAAAACTAATGGGAACCATCCGTGCAGCGACTGCATTGGCTGCACAAGATGTAAACTTTTACAAGTCGGTTGATTCCAACACTAGCCAAGAGATTGATAAGCGAGGGAAGAATCTCTTGACCGTTACGAATGACTTATTGAGAACTGCTTCGTCCCAAACGAACCCCGTAGATCCAATAATTTTTGGCCAGGAAAACATATCAAGCGAGTCGTCGTGGAACCCTGTCAGCAACGTGATTGATTCAATATTTGAAAAGATTGATTACACATTTGACCTGATTAACAAGAAGCAAACTGGTGGAGAACAAAAGCAATACTTGGAAGATGGAAACAGTCTGATACCAAGTGGTCAAGCTCAGAGAATTGAGAAGCCGCAGTTGAAGTTTAAAATACCAGTGGATAATTCTGAACAAGAACCGTTCAAGCCAAAAATCACAATTAAGCCAAATGCTTTGCAACCCTTGGAAGCAGTGAACAAACTCACGAACCCGGCACCTATTTATGAAGATTCAATAGAAGTGGTTGATCCTCCTTACTACGTGCATCCATATGAGTATGAAATTGATACCCAACCCTACCCTGAATCCATTTTGCAAAAGTCAGAGCCAATTTTGCCCCAGGATTGGAGTAGCACCAGTGCAATATGGATTGACACAAAAGAAAGTCTAAATGAAATGATTGAGGAATTGCTGCTGCTGTCGGAGATAGCAGTTGATTTAGAACATCATGACTACAGGTCTTATTATGGTATTGTATGCTTAATGCAAATCTCAAACCGTGACAAAGATTGGATTATAGACACTTTAGTTTTGAGAGATGACCTATCGGTGTTGAACAAGATTTTCACCGATCCGAAGATTGTCAAAGTGCTTCATGGTGCATTTATGGACATAATATGGTTGCAACGTGATTTAGGATTGTACATTGTTTCCTTATTTGACACTTATCATGCATCGAGACAATTGGGGTTTTCTAAGTTTTCGTTGCAATACCTACTCGATACTTTTGCCAATTTTAGAACTTCCAAGAAGTACCAGTTGGCTGATTGGAGAATAAGGCCGTTGCCTAAGCCAATGTTGGCATATGCTAGATCAGATACGCATTTCTTGTTATACATTTTCGATCAACTTCGTAACAAATTGATTGACAGTGATAAACTCGCTCGGGTGTTGTTTGACTCAAGGCAGGTTGCCAAAAGGAGATTTGAGTACACCAAATTTAGACCTTTGTCAAACAATCTCGGAAGCAAGGTCTCATGTCCGGTAATGTCATCAAATCCGAATGAGCCATGGGGCTCGATAATGTACCAATACAATGTGCCATCATTTAAAAGACCGGTTGTTGAGCAATTGTACAAATGGAGAGACTTGATTGCTAGACAGGAAGACGAGTCAGTGAGATACATCATGCCAAATCAGTTGTTGGTGTCTTTGGCCACCTTAGAGTCTCCCGTGGATGCCGGGAAGGTTCTTAATGTACCTTCGTACGTTTCTGAGCATGTTCGATTAAATGCAAGGGAACTAGCAGAATTGATTGACAAAACATTGAAGGAAAGTGAACAAAATGACTGGGCCATAGTTGACAGGTGGAATAACCAATCTTCGGTTGAAGTGGAGGAACAGAAAGTAGATATTAAGGCTGTCAATGTATTTTTAGAAAAGTTGTTATCAGACTCTGCTGCATTGTTTACAGAGGGTTCGTTATTGAATAGCAAGTCATCAGTAGTTATTCCGAGCGTCAGTGTAACGCGGAACATCACTTATGATTTCACTGATAAAGGGGTCAAGCAGCACAACTTTGACAAAGAGGAGCAAAACCGTTTCGACTACGTGTGGAAAAAGCTAACCGACATAAGTGACACCGCATCGATCACAGACAAAGAGTTGGAAGTGGAGATTGAAGCAGAGGAGGTTACTAAACCAGTAGAGCTTCTGGAAGCAGGCAATACTGAAGATAAGCCTAAATCCGGACAGCAAATATTGTTTAGTAAAAATGACGACATTAATCCTGATGAGTTGATAGCGCTTCGAAAAACCAATAAGAATGTTAAACGAAAGAATAGTCAACTCGCACAAGAGGATGAACCAAGCATAGACTATGCCAATGCAGATAAAATTCTCATTGATCCTAAAAGGAGTGAGAAGAGAAAGAAGAGATCTTTTGATCCCTATGGGAAAGATGCAGCCGGACCAAGGCCAGCCAAGAAAAAGAAGGTTATGGCAGAAGGCAAGACTTCTACGTATAAGTTGAAACAAAGTAGGTCCAAGAAGTAAATATGTTTTGTAGGTTAAGCGAATAGATGCCATTTTTCCATTACCATCAATGTAATCATCGGAGAGTTGTTGCTCTTGTTGCTATTTGCCGGGGAAGTTGCATTAGGTGCCATCTTTTCAGTTGGAGCCATTGCTGCATTTATATCCTTCACTTTGTCGACGCTACTTAAACTAACCACCGCTAGAGCTACATTCAAACCCGGACCATGGAACTTGGGTAGATTTTCACAGCCTATTGGGTGAATTTCAGTGGCGTTTGTTGCCATGATGATTCCTATATTGTGCTTCCCTACTGTCAAGGGCAAAG